TAGAACATACCAACATAATTTACAAATAATACTATACTGAATGAAGATACTTGTAAGCATGATACTATGATTAAGATAATGATTGTCTTATAGACAACCAACTTAATAAGAAAAGCATACTATCGATAGAAGAGTACAGTACAACTAAACCAACGTGAGAACTATGTAAAGGCATGGCTTTAAAAATATTAATAATAATAATAATACAAAATCAATTACGAATAATATATATATATATATATATATATATATATATAAATTTCTAACAAACCTGAAAAGGTGATAGATGGAGTCCGATACACTCAAACTAACGTGATGCAGTCAAACTTACATTTCATTTGTTATTAACAGTCTAAGTACTAAAAAAAGCAGATAGTACATGGTTAATACATTTCCTGAAAAGTATTATTGTCTATAGAAATATAGCTTTAAGTACAAATACAACGTCAGTCTAGAATAAGGCTGTGTAAAAGTTGTATATAAACAGAAGAAGAACACCCTATAAAGAGTATCCTTACACTATCTGCCACTAGAATGGTATAATACAAAATTTACCAAGTGGCACAAAACATTAGAATAAATAACGACAGCCTCATCTCTTTCTCTTATTTATTAATTTTTTCCTCGGCGCATAATTAAAAATACATTTGTTTTTATTTGAATAACTTCTTTGAGTCTTATCACAGCTTATTACAGTAAAAGTTAATGTAGTGTATTTTCATATCTTTGAGTAAGATTTATATCCCACTGTAAATTAATTATCTCTATTTTAAGATTTTAAGATTAATGTTTGTTTTTAATGGTAATAAAAGCTATGCAAACTCGGACTTCAATTAACTAAAATTTGGAAACCTTTGCAACATCGTTTTTGCAGCAAATGCATAACTAAGATGTATTCGCGGGCCGCATAAAATTTCTTCGAAGTTGCATCACCAGTTTTAGACCACTGCTTTAGGCTTAGAATTTCCGGAACCACCGTTGAAGCTGCTTGCGCTTATCGTCCAAACCCCATAAACTACAGGAATGTTACTATTAATAATTATTTAACTTATAAGGTATTTCTCTCGCCTTTTTAAAATGCCTTCGTAGTGTAGTGGTCAGCACGCTGGGTCCAGAGGTCCGTGGTTCGATTTCCGGCGAAGGCGTTGCTCATTTTTCATTAAAAATCACCAGTGCGTATAACACCACATCGACCGCAGCACTTCAGGTTCTCTAGCTGGCACGCTCCCACTCGACCTAAGAGCAGAATTAGAAAGATCAATCTACCGATCACTACAGAGAGGACCTTCACACTAAAGAAGACTTACATCTAGCCTATGCCAGTATAGAAAGCTTCCAAGATCCCTCTGTCTTACACACAGGAGATCTACCCATCCTTCCCTGGTGCAAATCGCTACTCTCAGGACAACAAAGAGAGATTTTCTCTGACGGATCAAAAATTTCAGGACAGCGTTCACGGTCTTTTCGAACAATGAAGAAATTTATCCAGCACAATTCCGTCTAAGCAACCATGCTTCAGTCTTCCAAGCCGAGTCATTCGCGCTCAAAGAAGCAGCACTATGGTTAGGTACCCAACCAGCAGCTCATACTTCATTCTTCACAGATAGCGTTCTTGAATGCGCTGAATTCCTTTTCTCCAAAACATCCACACACGGCAGCACTTAGAGGGGATCCTCTTGACGTTAGGCTCCTCCATTCCTTTGAAGATTAACTGGATAAAAGGACACACCGGGCAGAAAGGCAACAAACGAGCGGATGAACTATCTAAGAACGCAGCTCTCAAACCAGAAATTGACAAGGAAATTCCGCTTCCGCAGAAGTTGCAAAAATGCTCCTCAAGACAACATTCCATGAGACATGATCATCACGATGACAGGAAGAAGAGACAGGAAGATTTACTTACAACATCTTTCCAATACCTACTCTCAAAAGGCTTAAATGCAACAGACTCATGTCTTGCTAACCCTGTAGTGCCATTAACTTAGTTTGGCGGAACAGGTTAAATAAAGTGACCATATCTCTCCTGCTTCTAATTAACTTAATGTGTCTACAGTGGCGCCCGAACTAAAAGGGTGGTGGATGATGATTCTCCATACCCAGGATTTGGTGATTGGGTGCCCTAAAACTCCAATAGCCCTTTAAAAGGGGGAGCATATAAGGTATTTCTCCCGCTTTCTTAGCATGCCTTGGTCAGCACGCTGGAGGCGTATTTCCAGAGGTCCGTGGTTCGATTTCTAGATAGGGCGTTGCTCATTTTTCATCACTCCTTCTTCGAAATAATCTGATGTCTCTATAAACTGAACTCAAAATCTGCAGAATATGCTTCTTTGTACATTATAGCTTTGAAAAATAACTTAATAAATTTAAAATAGCAGATTTAAATAAAATAGCAGATCGAACTGCATTTTTCAAAACTTGCCATAAGAGTAAGAACAAATTTAAAATATCTGCTTTTCAAGTTGAGGAAGGTAGTTTATCCAGCTTCCCTCCGATGTTTAGTTCAATTTAAAGAAATTTATGGAATTACGTATTGCATATATTCTTAAAAATGTGTAAAACTACAGATTTTCATTTTGGTCGGTAAAACCGTAGAGACTTCGGATTCCAAAGAGGTCAGATTGTTGTTATTCGACTCATTGCTGCATCTGTAATTTTAATTGGAAAATTGTTGGGGGTTACAAATAGGTAGTGTGTAAGAAAGAGAAAGTAGCATATATTTTTCATGGCAAAACATAATCTGCGAGATATAGTTGTAGGAGAAAAACAAAACTTACTGATAAAGCTAAAGGGCATTAACGTCAAAAAGAAAACTCACTACGACAAATGGTAAATGCTGAGCTTGCATTTACAGAACAAAATTTTGATATATACAATGCGAAGGGATACGCGTAAGTAGAAAATTTACTGCACATCAGCTGCTGTCTCAAAGCTTTGTGTTCACAAATAGAGGTCAAATGTGTCAAATGTAAACTACTGTGGTGCTAGAAACGATAAAACATAGAATGTTGATCAGTAGAAACAAATACTGTCTTATGAGCAGTCAAACTTCGCACTATTCCAAACCCTAGGATGGATTCTTAGTGGGATTTTAAGATGAGTTTTTTTGAGACGAGATCATTGCAGAAGCTTACGGCTGTCTTCTACATATATTAAATTAAGGTCGCCGTTCAGCTATGCTTTTGGGCAGTCATGTCATGGTTTGTAGTAAGTCCAGTTATCACGTTACATGGAAGAATAAACTGTGGTGATTAAGTAACTATTCTAAGCAACCATAACCATTCAGTGGCGTAGACTAGAGATAACTGTACCTTTCAAGAATCAAAATACCAGAAAACTTGGATCACAAACGCCTCATTTTAAAAACTATTCAAGTTACGAACAAATTATTTGAACGAAAGACGTCACGGATGGCCTCAGATGTCTCGGCTTACGAACATCCAGGTCGGCAATAAATGATTTGGGACTCAAAAGTGTTTTGAGACGGTCTACACCACATAATCAATACTCAGCGACTCCTGAAAATATTTTAATGTTTCCTATTGTAAGAGCCATAGCTTTCATCAACAACGCCTAGCAGCAAGTGACTTTCAGGATCATAAATTCGGTCTGGAGGAAATTAACGTCTGGACTAAGTGGCAGGCAAAGAGCACTCTGAAAAATATGTTAGGACGTTAACAACGAAGACTTAGAGAAGATACCAGATAACTATAAGAATGAGCTCAACAGGAAAGAATTACTACTTCGTCTAGCAGCAACAAAACTATAAAAACTGTCTTCAGAAGAAAAGAACTAGTTTCTCTGATCCGAAAAATGGGGCAGGTTACAAACTGTCATGAAACAATATCGCTTTGGCAAAGCAACAGCAAACAAAGCATAAGCATTTTCAATAACAATACCAAAGAAACATTTATAAAAAATTGCCAACCACGAATCGCATTAGCAAGAGCATTAAAAATCGGTTGATGAGCACATGAAGAAGTTATAAATATTCGATGGCCTGCACAATTACCAAACTTAAGTATCATTGAATCATTATGGTGTGTGCTAAACATAGAGTGTGATAAAATTAACAACCTTGTGCTTAGCGTATATTTTATTGAAGACTCTATCGGTTTCGAGGGCAAACAGGTACAAATCCCTTTTCGTCAGGAGAAGAAAATCTGCAGATTTTTTTGCTAAGTTTATATTTTACTTTAGCGTGTTTCTCTTTTGTCATAACAGTGTGTGATCCCGAGTTCTTCCTCCAGTAATCTCTCAAAAACGAATTGGCGCAAACTTAGAGAAGAATGAAATAAAACACCTTTTTCACATATTCATAAATTATACGCCTCCAATTCTAAGAAGCACCCAAGAAGTTTTTAGTGCCATAGATGTTCCGACATAATACTTCGTGTTTGGTAAATAACTCTAAGTTTGCAGATGATTCCGTTACAACCCTTGTACATTACACAATGCTAAAATTTTTATTTGTTGTAATCGATTATCCAATTCATTTACGTTTTAAACAGAACTTTTATATTTCCCGGAGAAAATAATTTTAATACAAGATGATTTCTTGGCTGTATCAGTCAAATTGAAGATTTTATTAACATCACGATTGGACTCTATATAAAAGTTATGCAGCAGGTGCAAAGCAAAGCAAGAAATTTTCTTTTATCAAATACTGCTGAAAGCATTCTTAACGATCGCTTTATCATAGTTGCAGAAGGTTAAATATTAAGATACGTTTTCATTGTCTATAATGAAATATCAGAGCTTTCATAGTACAGCCTGTTTATAATGGAAAGATAAATATCCCTGACTTTTCAGTATGATTATAAGCAATGACATAGTTTAATGTTGTGTATAATGGCATTGAACTATATTATTATGAATGAACATACTGGGCAATTATGTATCACGCAATTCACAATATCAGGTACCAAGCAAAACACATACTATTTGTAAATTACGTTTTCTGAAAGTCTCATTGAAAAATGATTCCTGTTTGTGTTTTTCAGTGGCTGTAGTCATCGCCTTCTTCGTGTGCTGGGCACCTTTTCATGCCCAAAGGCTGCTCTTCCTCTACGTCTCATTGTACAGCACTTGGACGGACACATTGAGACTCATCAATCAGAACCTCTTCACTTTAGCAGGTAAGACTGTGGCATTTAAGTTTTACTACGGAAATGTTATCTAATTTACTCCTTTCCTTTCTGCCTCTTTTCGCCACGAGGTTCACTCATTCCAGAACTGATGTAGATTTGAGTGGCAAGCAGTTTTTACAATGCAGGTTGAGAATTACGAATAGCTGTGTCGTTAAAGAAAGCGGAAGGGCGGACGTCCCGGGCGGCACACTTTACATGAAACATTATTTTATAAAAGTTAGTTATGTGTATTTTGGATGCAGGTAAAGAATACTGAAATTCTGAATTAACACATGGAACTAAATTGAGAAAATAATGATTTTGCTGTAGACGTATCCAAAGAACCACCATGAGATTTCAGCTTGTTCTACTTTTTTTATTTCATCAAAATTTCTAATTGTAAATTAAGAATATCAACTGAATTATGATCACGATTTTACATCTGATGGTTGTCTAATGGTGCAGCAAAGACGCTTTCGAAAATAACAACAAAATTTACTTACAAGAAAACTATAGCAAAATTAAATAGTTGAAGATATATTATTAGGCATCTCTGTATTCAGCATCCTACACTTTTTAGCATCTTAGCATCCTTGCCTGCCACTGGCTATTGGATTGTACATAGCGCTCTCCAGCCGAGTAGTGCGGGAATTATATAATACACAATGACATTAATAAAAATGAATTCCTAACTGTATTTCACAGTTTTATTTTCATCATTGCTAAGGAAAACGAAACAGTAATGTGAAAGGGCGGTTCTTTTGAATTTTTGCAATTTAATCTAAAATACACTCTTCAGAAGAAAGTTCCAAATATTGTAATACTACTGCAAACTTTTCTTCTTATTGCTGTAAGTGTTACTCCTTGTGAGATGAGGTTTCTAAATAAAAGTCATTTAAGAATTACAAATGTTTATTTTGACCACAAGAAACGTTTCTATACATCTACATAACAGCAACTGGAGAAATCAAGTAGACCTTTAAACTTTGCGAACCAAAAAAGAACAAGCAAAACAAGAATACGATTTTAAAACGTTGGAATTATAGTTTTTATTTAAAAATAAACATAAAGTTTTAATTTATATCCTTATATGCCGTTTTGACACATTTTTAAAGTTATTTGTTTGTATAGAACGAGGAGGGTCAAAATCAGAAACCACCGCAGGTGGCAGTTTCAGGGACCGCTCCAGCGATAAAAGCTGTAAGCTACGCCACTATGTGTAAGCTGCGTTGCCAGTTAGAGTAAAGTCTGTTGGCTACTCCAGTGCTGGTCTTGATTGGAATAATGTAGACTGAAGCTAGTTTAGATTTTGGTTAGTGATACGTTTGAGTTTCTGTAGCTGGCTTGGCAAGCGTGTAGCCTCTAGTCGAGTTAAATTACTGAATTTATATCTTCAACACATCGTACAAAAATATCTTAGTATCAAAGATACGTTTGTATATTTTTAATTAACCCTTCACAAGAAGAATGAATTAAAATTATTTGACATCTGTATTTGTTCGGTTAGAGTTAGAAGCTCTAATAATGATAATTTACTTTAAAATTTAGGTGATACCCTATTTTTATTGAAATTTGAGTTAAATTATTTCTACTCACAGCAGTTATTACAAAATTTCTAGATTAAAATACATTAAATTTAATTTGTATTAGGGACTTCTCCGTAATAATTTTAAGCATTGAACTTATTTATTTCTTTATATAATTAGCATTAACTATTGTAAACAGATAGCTAAACCTCCAAATGACCAATAACAGTTTTTCGACAATTTGTTTTGTTTTCTGAAGATCATTTATACATTGCTGGTTAATATACTCAATGAAAAACAGATCTTTCAGTATATGATTGCTGGCTAATTTAGATTTTATCACAGCTATATTTATAAGTGGTAAAGTTCTGACATTCGATATCCTTTGATTTCATTTGTTACTTTAAGAAGAAACAGAAGATATTTTTGCTTACATGAGACTTAAATAGGTTAGGGTAAGTGATAAAAGCAAAGTAATTCAGAAGCTATCTACCTGTGGGAAAGTTTGCCTTCGTGGAAAATTATCTAAAGGAAATTCGCTTGTATCTATGTTATGCATACGGAAAGCCATGAAAACTTCCATGAAACCAGTCCTTTCTTTGGGATTCGAGCCCAAGTCAAACCACTAGCGCTGAATGACTTTACCGCTCGGCAGCTGGTGGGTAATGAGATTTTAATACAACCACATATTTTCAAGGGCATAAATATCGTATAAATATAATACGATAAAAACTACGAAAGCCTAATGTGCTGGTTCAGGACAAGCTATCAATCTTCAGCGATCTAGTCATTTGCCCAGTTTTGGACTCACATATATACTCATGTCTATAAATTAAGGATAATGCAAAATCAGGCAAAGGAAGAGTTAGAAGCAAAACAAATTTGACTTATTTGTAAAGCTTATTTATTAAACAAAAGGTATAGAGCAAAAAAAAAAAAAAAGGTGCTATTTGTTTGATATTATTAAAAGAATTAGCGATTTTTTCTCCCTGGAGCAAATTACAAAAAAAAACCTATTTACAAAAAACCAATATTACATGTTTGGTATGATTGTTAATACATTGTATGTCTCCCAGACGATGCAATACAGTCCGTACAACGCCTAGGCATGCTGAGTATCAAATTATCGATCTGATCTTGAGGGATATTACACCACTCAAAAAGCAATGCTCTCCGAAGTTCCGGTCCGAAGTTCCGGTAGACATGTAGGAGGAGGTTGACGGGCTGCAACTCGTCGGCCAAGCCTGTCGCACACGTGCTCTACTGGATTCAAGTCCAGTGAGAATGCTGGCCAGTCCATACGGGTGATATCCTCCGATTGAAGGCATTCGCTTACAATGCTTGCACGGTAAGGACGGGCGTTGTCACCCATAAACACAAATTGTGTGCCCATGGCGCCCCGAAACAAACGTACATGTTGTTCGAGAATGACGTCCCGATAGATTTGGCTTGTCATGGTTCCAATTTGAACATGCAGGTCAGCTCTGGAACCCAGAATAATTCCACTCCAAACGAGCACTCCTGTACCACCGTAACGGTGTCGTTCAATGATGTTTTCTTGGTAGTAACCGGTACCTGGTGCTCTCCATATGAATGTCCGGCGAGAATCAGACTGCAAGCTAAACCTGGACTCGTCGGAAAACATCACACAAGCCCACTGTTGCGGTGTCCACAATGCATGCTTTCTACACCAGGCTAACCGCAGGCGACAGTGAGTTGCAGTAAGTGGAACGCATCTGACAGGTCTACGAACATATAGACCAATCTGCCCTAAGCGTCTGTATACGGCCTGCCTTGAAATTGTCGTACCAGTGGCTGAAGAGAGCTGACGAGACAGGTCTGAGGCTGTGCTCCGCCTGTTTCTTTTGGCAGTAACTGCGAAATACCGGTCCTCATTCGGTGTTGTAACTCTGGGGCGACCTGTGTTGTAACGTCTACTCACATTACCATCATCTTGGAATCGTTTCCAAAGCCTGGAGATGACACTCTGAGCAATTCCAAGTTCGTCTGATACTTTCAGTTGGGGTACGCCCACATTCCAGACGGCCGATAATTCTACCACGTAAAAAATCATCCAAATGCGTCCTTTGTACCATATCTATTCGGTTATTGCACTGAAATGCTTATAAAGCGCCTGCGAACAATTTTACTTCTTTGCCTGTATTCCTTATATATCACTCTCTTACACTCTCGTCATTGTGACGTATTATCGGTGTCATCTGCTTACTTCCTGAAATTTGCATATGATTCTTGAAGATGTGTGTAGTGATTTTACAGGTGATATATTTATTTTAGAGTTTGATTTCCGCGTGACTCCGAATTATCCTTAATTTATGGACATAGTGTAGATTGAATAGTTAAATATGCATTGAGTACATCGAATATTTAAGGAGAATGTTATCTATTTGCTTTAAAGTTGACACTGTATACCGAGCTTTCGTTCGACCTTTATTTTCGCAACCTTCAAGTCGAAGAAATAGTATGTTTACAGTTGCAAAAATGTTTGAAATGACGCAAATATTCATGTCTGTTTATTTCAAAATTTCAAATATGACCTTTTTATATGTTCCCTCGGCTATTATACTTACATATCGAAATATTTTGATGTTCATTATAAAAAATCAAAAGCAAAAAGGGACTCCCGTATGACCAAAAACTGGTACAGCTATTTCATTTTGAAACTGGATATCATATATAAAGCCCGTATTCAAATTGAAGAGCAAATGTTTCTGGTTGCCGCCACTAAAAATAATATATCAATTTAGAAAAGGGTTTCTGATGTTATAAGATTATTCGACAAGCATTTCTATGTATATTATATAATTAAATAATGTATATTATATAGTTAAAAAATATGAACCAATATAATTTTTGTTTTTCAAAATGTATATCTTAGTCAAAATCTTACGGAATTCATGCCCTAGGGAACACTGGCTGGCTTCAGCATTGGCATGGAGCCAACGTGTAATAAATATTATTTGCATTAATTTAAAAATATTTGTTCTTTGAATTTTAACGATTACCAGAACTGTTATCCTAAAATACTAAAATTCAAATTCTTTTTTAAACTTGTAAAAAAATAATTTTGTATAAAGTAGAAAAATTAATTTTTTGAGCGTTCCTCCGGTCTCTATACTTATGTTTAGAAAAATTTCGTACTCATCATAAAAAGTCAAACACAAAACGTTGAACTCCCGTACAACAAAAATTGACCCAGATATTTGATATTAAATTCAGAAATCACATTCAGGGGTCATACCATTATTTGAGTAAATTAAAAATGAAACACATTTTAATTTGATAAAGTTTCTCGATGTCTATTTGATTACGATTCTAAAGTAATAAAACGTCGGGTGAATTCAGCATTTCAGTTGCATAACAATATGAAATAAAGATTGTTACACAGCAATAACTTGCAAAAGAATATTAGTTAACGCAAAAAATCAACTGTAAATTACTGTTATCTATTTAAGAACCGAACTCTCAAGGCAAGTCAATATCGAAAATGGCGTTATCAATACGTCATTTTCGTTATTCTCAAGGCACTTGACGTTACTCTCAAGGCAATATCGAAAATGACGTTAAATATCCCAAATTTTGAAATAAAATATAGCTGCCAGTTTTGTGTTACAGGAGTCAAACATTCTGTTTATTGCTCTTAATAAGCGTAAAAGTTTCGTAAATTTAAGTATAGGGATTGCAGGAATGTGTAAAATGTTAGATTTCGTTTTTTATAAAACTGAACTATTTACAATTAAAGACACCCAAACCTGAACATTTGCGTCCTTTAAAATATTTCTGTAACTAAAAGTACACGTCTAAAACCAACGATTGCAAAGATAAATATCGGGTATTGCCACGTTGTATATAACAGTGCTTAAAACATTTGATGTTAGTTTTCTCAATGAGATTAATTACGATGTCTTACTTCGAAATGGATTGCTCAAAGTGCAAATCTAGATTTTAACAGGTCGTATTTTTGGCAATTGGCACAAAGAGTTGGAAACTAATACATGTAGTTAATTGCTAGAACTTTTGCAGGGTTCTCAAAGATCAGATATTAAGGAAAGGCGAATTATGTGCTGGAGGCACATTTCTCCCCCCCCCCCAACTTCTCAAAGTAAAAAAGAATTCTCCTTTTTCCTTCCTTTCCTTCCGCAACTTAAAAGCATGGCCGAATTTTTCCCTATTTGCAGGAAAACGTTTGCTGATTAGCAGTGATTGTGTTGCAATTTATTATTGCGTTTTAGTTCAAGCAAGGGCAAGTTTTCTGCTTCAAAGTTAAGTTTAAAATACTATATATGCGTGTATTATTATATGTAGATTAATGTTTAATACTGCTATCACACATCAGTTTGTTTCAGAAAAACAACTGTTTGGAACAATTTTTCTGCTTTGTCACAACAGCCAATCACCACCGATCACTTTGGGGTTAACATGTAAAGGAGAAACTGGTTCTACATTAAAAACAAGCTGATATAGCATTCGAAGCTGATAGCTGATTGGTTGAAAACGAACAACTCGCATTTGTTTTCGAAAGGAAGAAAAAATATCGCGCGTCTTTCTTTCAACAGTAAACCTGGCAGAAAAATTGTCCGAAACAGTGTTCGTATGAAACAAATGCATGTGTGATATGGGCCTAAGAATGGTTTTACCCCAAATATTGTGTATAGTAAAGTATTTCATTAAATTCAGGAATTGATTTGTTTTGTTAACTTTACTGCTCATTGTTGCGCAAATTTGAATTATATTTTAATTGGTTCGCCTTCGTTTAATCTTTATTTATCATTACATTATTGTTATTTAATTTCGTTTAATGTTTCTTTAGTCTTATCACCAAATCTCAAAATGTGTATACCATTTTAAAGGGGGATTTCTTCTCTACATTTTAATTCTCCCATTCTCATTCCCGTGCTGTTCATTCCCATTCATTACAGTAGCAAGTTTCATGCTTTCGCTTATTCAATTCGTTGGGGATTCGGGGGGTTACTATAGTTGTCTAAACACGAAATGAAATTTGTCTCAAATTTTTCATATTTCTAAAACTTAAATGAGAATTTTTGGAGCCAGTAGTGGTTAGATTTCTTAATTCTCAAAGATTAGTCCATTATAGTGACACAAATATTTACACAGTTATCTTCTTCTTTCAGGTTGCTTTTACTACTTCAATTCGACCATCAACCCCATCTTGTACAGCGTGATGTCTAACCGTTTCCGTGTGGCATTCCGTGAAAAGCTTTGCGCCGGTCCACCTTCCTTATGGTGTATCTGCTGCTGTTTCTTCTGTTGCGTGAGGGACTTCGAGAAACGCAGCCAACAGACCCCAGCAATTTACAGAAATTCCAATTCGCACAGCTCTGTACGATCTTACGTCAGCTACAACCAGAACAAAATGGCGGGTGTCAACAACAACAATGTTGGCGGAGCAGCTCTTTTACCCAGACCACGCAGTATGGCCGTTAATTATAATGAAAAATGTGGCGTCGTCACGACCTGGGTGAACAATGAAATGGACATGGATAAAAAAGTAGTCCGATCGCCTAGCAGTTCTAGTCCCAGCAGTAGGAAATACGGTCGTACTTTAACCGTCTCACCTCCTTTGACGCATCGGCATGTGGTCCGGATTGAGTCCGGTTATAGCCACAGCAGCGGAAGATCTTCTTCTAAATCTAGTGACAACAAAGTGGTGGAATCTAGTTCCTCCGGCAAAGAGGAGGATCCGGAAGAAGGCCAAGAACTCGACCTCGAAGTAGAATTGGATGAAGCGATTCGACCAGAGTTAGACAAGCTAGAAGAAGCTGATAAGAATGATTGCGTTAATTGTACTAATTGTACTCTTATCTTCCCACCCAAAAGCAGAAATGCTCCTGTCTGTTACGAAACAATAGATAGAACTTCCACAACAGAAGTATCTCAGTCTGATCAGAACGCCCCAATGCTACCAGCACAAATTGCATCTATCGTATAAATGGAGATGAAAATTATTATTAGAAAATCATTTTGACTGATTTTCTTTATAAGTATCTGTTGAGCCAATACGACCAAAGAACTTATTATTTCACATCATGTCTAGAACGATGAGAAAAATCATTCTTTTTCACAGTTGAGTACACTGGTATTCAAACCAGTTATTCAAAATACAAAGCAGAAATAATTATTTGCACCATGTACTGATTCTTTATAGGTACCAAGTTCAATACGTCAAATACAGGTTAAAATAGCACCAGAAATACATTTTAAAACTTATTAGTAACTATTTAAAGTTTAAAGAATAGCCATCGAATCGTATTATTTTTTTTATCAGTTCAGATATCCGAAATTAGTAGGAACTAAATCACTATATTGCAAGACATGAACTATATTTAAAAATTTCTAAGATCTCTTCTCACTCGTATTTTCAATGTTGGGAATGTAAACCAACAAGATTTCAAGTTTTGGGAAAGATATTCAGAAAGTCATTGATTATTGCGAGAATTAAGCATTTTTTAAAAATTTATGATAATAGAATTGAAAAAAAAAATTCCCTCAAAAGTTGAGTGCTAAACAATCCTGTGAAACAGCTTACAACGCATAAATTACAACGCATAAAGAGTAAGCCTTTTCAAAAACAAGGATATATATATATATATATATTCCTTAAAAAATCTTCGTTCAGTACATAAATTTTCGTGTATTGTTAAATTAGACATCTACTTCAGCGTTGGCAATATTTAAGAAACTGTGGGTTTACAGATGGGCAACAAAGTACATATTTCTGCGTTAAAAAATCTTCGTTCAGTACATAAATTTCGTGTATTGTTAAATTAGACATCTACTTCAGCGTTGGCAATATTTAAGAACTGTGGGTTACAGAATGGGCAACAAAGTGACATATTTAAGTTGCTTCTATTTAAAAACTTTCCTTTCTACTAATAAGTACTGTTACTTGACATTAAAAAGCAAATATTGAAGTCGAAAGAAATTTCACTTATTTAATTATTTCAGAAATGATTTCGTTCATTGCTAATTTTCTTAAAATGATTTGCTAAAATATTATTTGAGTAATTTATGCTTAGTTATTAATTGTCAGGAAATTTTATGTTATTCTTATTCATTTATGAATCATTTTTCGTAATTTTGCCTAAACTTCAAGCTTGAGATGTCATTCGTAATGAAAAAGCTAATTTTAAAAAATGCTTAAATATTTGTATTACCTGTACCAATCGAATTACTTGAGTAACGGTCAGTTGTATTCAGAACGGTCACTTTAATATATTATGATTTAATACGTTGGTCTAATATTTGACTGGTGGATGAAAGATAAAATTTTGATTGGGAAATTTATGCCATCTGATCAAAATTTATCTCGTTGTTTTGATAAAAAATTGATCTGAAAGCTTTTTCTAAGCTAGATACCTACTTCTTTAATAAAATCGCATTTGGTTATTAACTGAATATGAAAATAATGCAAAGGTTATCTATCTTAAAAGAATGCTTCCTTTACTATTTTGGGAGAGAGACAGTTCATATTTACGTTACGTAGATATGAGCTTCACGTTACATAAAACTTTTAAAGTTATTTTATGTAGCCGCTTTAAAATTAGACTTAAAGTGATATTAGTTTAAACATATTAATTTTTAATGAAATATTTATCATTCTTAAAATAACGTCCACAAAATTTCTAATTCAGAAATGGACAAATACTTGTAGCTATTTCTGATATACAATGGTAAAGTTTTCCGCGTCATTGAAGCCATATAAAGTAGGACTTCATATCCTGTTTTCCGAAATAATTTTAAACTGATGAATATAACAACAACAAAAAAAAAAAAAAAAAAAAAAAGAAAGGTGGAAAGAAGAAACAATAAGAAGGCGGGGAAAGGAAGTCCTGCGATATCTCTCTATTTGCGGCGTTTATCTTAGCATAATCTCTAAGGTTCCCATTGTTTACGCACTCTGAGAAAACTTTGTAGCCAACCACAAAATACTGCCGAATCATTTGGTGAAAACGGTAAACAATTTTTGGAGATTTTCAAGATGGATATCAGTTTTGTGTTTTCGATCGGAAGTGGTTTGGTTTAATTGATTATGGCAAAGCACTCGAGTGCTATGTGCCTAAAGAGAGGGATGCCTTCGTGGAGGCTTTCTAAGAGAATCTGGCTCATATACACGCTATAAAAGTTGGTTTGAATTTGTGAAGAATTCAAACAGAAAAATATTAGGACACATACATTAAAAAAGTTACACATATTACGAAATTTAATAACACACTTTTCAAATGAAGAAAATATAATTTTCAAAGACTTAATTTCATGTAACTTTTTAAAAAATTAAAAGTCTCAGACAACCATTCCTGGCAATGTGGAACAAGGTGTACAATATCTTGGGACCGACTCATGCTATGTATTGGCTCCAATTTCTTCTCAGAAAGAGTAACTAATGGGAAATCACCTTTCGAATATTCGAAACGTCGATACAGTACAAACTATCTAGTCAATGATGTGTGTGTGTTTCATGTGTTCTATACAGTACCTTCGAAGTATTATTCGAATATTAGCTTTATCTCTTGCTCGGCAGGTAAGTCCATTTGCTACTAGTCATAGAAATGTTCATTTAGAATTGGAGGTTTCCGAATTGTCAAGAACTGGCCCAATTTAAAAAATAATGTATATATTAGAGCGGATTGAGCAGGAAAATTAAATTTCTCTAAATATAGATTTTTCTAATATTAAATGCAAGAAACCCCCATTAAACACAAAAAGTGGAGGAGAATTGTATTAAATCGGTAAATCCAAGACCCAGAAATGTGCAGGTTTTTGTTCCCTTTGTTGTTTCATTCTTCTATGTATCTGAACTGGGGTTATGCAGAACTCTAATGTTCCTCAAGAAATTTTCAAGGGTTCTGTGAAAAATTAATACACTAAGCATGCTGTACAGGTACATTTGAGTTATTTTTTGTTTAACTTCCTATTCATAATTGTGCAAATTTACCTTGATTTATTGTATTTCACTAGTTAGATATAACTAAATATTATAATCTTATTAAATTACCGTAATTTAATTTATTTGATCTTGCGCATTTTCAAAGTTGCCAATAAATTCCCACATTACGATAGCCGCCGCTTAATGGTGATAACGTTTGTCCACGGCTGTTTTGATAACACTAACCGAATGATAACATTAAACCAGGGGTTTTTAGCTGGGGAAATTTCATAGTTTTAGGAGGAATGCTGTCAGCTTTTGCTTAACCTGTTAAGTGTTTCATTTATGAACATGAAAAATTTCATGTTCATAAATGATCATATTCATTTATGAACATATTTTCATCATATTCATTTATGAACATATTTTTATTCAAATTTTGGTATTATCAACATTTCCTATACTTTTTCTTGTTTTATTTATGAAACACATTAAAAAATTATTTGCATTTAAATAAATGTATATGTATTTTTCAAATTTGGAGAAGGAGGACAGAAGGATAGTCTAGCAATGGTTAAGAGGGTGCATGAGGCAAAAAACGTTGAGAACCATTGCATTAAATAATTAAATAATGAGAAAAAATATTTTCGAAATAGCAATGGAATTTTATTTAATATAAATATAACTATAAATATAAAAATAGGCATTTTCAACAGTATTTTGAGTAAGAAAATACGAAAGTTCGTTTATGAACGGTTCATAACCATACTGGAAATTATTTCACTAACTCTTAAAACTCGGAACGCATTCCTCATTGGAATAAAGAAACACTTGTCGATGTAAAATTTAAAAGTGGACAGAAAAGCAATCATAGTTTGGCGTAGATGTTTTCAGGGAAACAATTTTTTCTCCTGAAAAGGAAGAATTTATAACTTTGAAATCGATCAGATCGCTCTTAAATCGATAAGAGATTCTGAAAATTTGCCTCAAACTAAGCTTGCTTTTTTGCAAAATTATAAGTGAACGACAATAATCAAAATCAAGCTGTTTGGCAACTTATTCCCTTACATGGTGACATTTTTCTGTCACTTGGAAATTTTTAAAAGATCTGTTTGGATCTTTCTTCGCAACTTTAGTTTGAAAAATTTAATCTATAATATTTTGTTCATATTAACCGAACTGCTGATCACAATACGCTATTTACTATTTTTTCTTTTACCGTATACAAACACACGGGACTTCGGCAATTCGAGAACAATGTCCGAATGATAACATTAATCTCGATCCCATTAAGTGGCGTCATCTGTGCTGTAGCAGTTGGCATCTACTTTTGTTTACTGTGCATATGCTATATATACAGTGTCGGTAATAAAAGTATATCTAGATCGAATTTCAGTAGAATACTGCTGCTTTTATTATAGGATATGTAACATTGTGTATTGTGGCATGTAGAAGTGCAGTCTCATCTGTCTCTAAGCACTAATCAGTTCTTTTTATCATAATCTGGTAACACTTTTTTAACAAATTTGTTTATAGGAACTGCAGTTAGTGGTGTCAGGTGAGATTTCGTGTGACATTAGACATGACGAATTTGAAGAGAGGTATGGTATACGTTCTAATAATGTAGAATTAATTCAAAGTCCTCCAGACCCTTAGACTGATAAGCGAATTATCGATCCATATGAAATGTTATGATAAAGTTAAAGTCATAACAATGTTTAAATAACTTTTTTTAATTCTTAAAGTTAAATAGAAAGCCCCGCTGCTCATATACTTTTATTTGGGACACCTTATATGATCCCAGTTATTAAAGTTCCTTTATTTTTCAAGTATGCATGTTTGCGGAAAAGTAAATATTTTGTGCATATAAAAACCACGATATATGTTTCTACTTGCACGCGCATAAAAAGAGTGCGTGAGGAGAGAGAGATTTAAAAAAAAAAAAAAAAAAAAAAAAAAAAAAAAAAGGAGTTATTTTAGTTTCTATTTTATTTACTTTTGTTTTCTCCAATCAGTATACTTCAATTTTTTTTTTGCCTTTATTTATTAGTATTCTAGTTATTTAATGTAATGTTTTGCATAAATCAACTATTAGAAAAATATAGTGAAATTCTTATTTCAACGAAAAAGGCAAAATTTAATATTATTCAAGAATCATTTATAGCGATTTTTTCTGCGAAAATTAAAGAACATGCGCAGAAAAAAATGAATGCGAAAAAAATCCAGTTAAGACGTTACGGAGACCTCCAGTTTAGGGTACTAATATATGCATACGGCCCCAAACAAAGGAGGCAGTTTTCACTTCTACTGCTCCTTTTCTTACTGTTGAATTTTTGACAGCATTTGAAAAAATATTGTCAAGAACGTATGAAACTTTTCTAGTCAATCTTTCCCTATCCCTTTTTTCAAGAATATCTTTTAATTTCTTGATGTTTAGAAGTGCATTAGATATTTCTGCTGAACAGATATTCTGTTTCAGTTGCGCTCATATACAAGCATATCGATTTATATTTTAGTTCTTAGATTTGCATAAATGCATATTATAACTGACTTTATACGGCAGGTCAAGTGCGATGCTTATACTGTACTTTAATCGAAGTTTTGTAAATAAGTATTTGTTAATTATACAGTAATGAATATATGTAACATATGCAAAGAGATGAATATCTGCATTTCAGCAACTAATTGAAGTGGGGTAAAGCATAATCAACTGAAAGTTCCAAAAGAAGAAACCAAAAATTTCGGAAAAAATAAACCAAATAAGTTTAAAATATTTAAAGTATTATAGCTTTCCAACAAATGTATAACTGACA